AAAAAAAACAGAGTTGTTATAAGTGGTTAGTAATTAGTTCAATTAACATAATTGGTTCCTTTTTTTATGGTCTATATGTAGGTTTGGTTATTTGGTTAATAAAAGGTTTTATTACCAAGGAGTTCTGGCCGTGAGATGATAATATTACCGGTAGCGGTGGTAAAGGTGATTATGGTTTTTGAGTCATTAATGGCTTTATATGAGCATTTGTGGTTACTTTCTTAATTTCCTTTATCGCTTTCCTAGTCTTTTTTATTCGGCTGCTACTCATCAGCCGCGAAATCAGCGAGAGAGAGAGAGAGAGAGAGAGAGATGAAATAACGAAACGACGGCCTAGATTCTCGATATTCTGGTATATTTTTCCTGGTTACATTTATAAAACTTTGAAAGAACAAAGCCAAAAAGAATGAGATTTAAAATATCTTTAATTTTTTTGCTGGGTAAAGTAGAGCAATTTTTGACATTTTTTTTGGGCGGCCGTAGTTCGCTAATAAAAAAATAAGGCAATGACATACAATTCTACACTAAATAGAGAGGTGGACCACTTTTTAATTATTTTTAGCCTAAAAAACTTTCCAAACCCTTTATTTATGGGACAAAGATGCCGGACCATTTAATTGGTGTAAAGTTATATATCATTGCCAAAAACAATTTCCCAGATAACCGAATTTTTTGAACCCCGCTTTTCAAAAATTTTAAAAAATTGGACCTTTTTTAGGAAGGCTGACAAGAAAACAAACACCACCTTTTCGGAAATTTAATTTTCGCTTTTTTCATTTGTTTACTCTTACGATGTGCAAAATAAATACCTATCTTCCATTATTTTTAAATTATTTTAAGAAATTTAATTAAAAATAAAAACAGAAAATAATTTTACCTGATGTAATTAAAATTATTGATTGTCTAAAAAAGGAGAAAATAACTATTAAAAAAGTGAAAAGTCTCATTATGAAAAAGGTTACTAAATTTTCGCAAAAAGTTTATCAGTTATGTTCGCAAATACCGGTTGGTTATGTTTCTACTTACCAGCACCTGGCTCGCTTTCTCAAAAGTTCGCCGCGAGCGGTAGGGCAAGTCTTAGCCCAAAATCCTTGGGCTCCTCAGGTTCCTTGCCACCGCATTATTGCTTCCGATTTTTCTTTGGGTGGTTACAAAGGAAAAAAAAGCAATTCGGCAGCCGCTCTTGACAAAAAAGAGTTGTTAAAAAAAGAAGGAGTAATTTTTGACCCCACCGGATACTTACTAGAAAGTTTGCGGGAGAAAATCATTTTTCGGGATTTTTGGGCAACTTTGCCTTAGCAAACTTTCCAAAATTAAGTAGTTAAGTTTTTCCTAAACTTAAAATAATTAATAACCACGGGGAGAATATTAAGAAAGAGCGAGATACTGCAAAGTCGCTACTATTGATTACAAGAAGATTATATATGTTAAAATTATGTTAAATTAAAGTGATTAATAACTTATTACTGAAGTTATTAAGACTAATAAAAATTTCTCCTAATATGCAAAGCTTTAGGTTTTTTTTAGAACTTTTTTTTATGTGATGCATGTGCGAGTGTGGGCAGTTGAAAAAAGCAATAGGGGGTTCAAAACTAGATTGAGGTGCTATTTTTTGTTCAACTAAAGCGGGTATAACGGGACTCTTTTGTGCGTGGGAAACATAAAAATTCTTTTCAAGTTTT